ATTCAGAGCGTGCAGAGCAGTTCCCTTTTCTATTTTAGTGGCTCTCACCTCGGGTTAAAGAGCCCTAACTTCTGCTCCTCTTCTGCTCTCCTCTTCACGAGTTTTGATGAAGATTGGACCATGTTTGTGCAGTTATAAACTTTACACAGAACTATTTTTTTTAAGCATGTATTCACCCAGCCAGATTTTTTATGTGAACATCCTTACTCTGTTATTTTCAGTTTTATTTAGGAGCTTGATCTGCCCACATGTGAGCCAGAGACATCGTATCGCTTTTCTCTCTGAGATGATTGTTTCTGCGGCTGGGCCCGAAGTAGGTCAAGTAAGGATGATGCAGACTAATATGTGGATGAAATGCACAAGCAATAAATGATCCATCGCACCTAAAAAGATGTTAAATGTCGTAGCTCTAATGGCTGCTCGTCTGGGTTGACAGAGAGGCTGGGGTATCTGGAGCAGCGGCCCGCCACACTGCTCGTGACACGCACGGCTAAAAGGGGATTATGAATTGTTAAGCAGGGCACTGGGCCACTGGCATTATCGCAAGTGTGTGAAGTGGCTTGCTTCATTAGAATCCAGGCTGATTGATCACACTCCCACAGACGTAAGAGGTTAGCTTTCTCAGTACTGCTCTTGTTTAAATCGAGGCCCGTCTCGGGGTGTTTTTGCCGTTGTGCTGTGGCTGTGCTCTGACCGATAGTAAACTCTAAGGGAATGCAAGAACTTCCTGTTGATGGCAAGTTCTCACTTCAACAGATGGTTTCAGAAAGAGGAAATTCAGTCTCTCCACATTGTCGTGCAGCTTTGATTGGTTCATGTCTTACAATCCACAAAAAAAAAACGAGAAACAGATTTGTGTCTTGTCTTGTGACTTTGTTGAATGTCATCAACCAAATAAGCAGCGACTTCACTTCACGCTGACTTCAGGTGCTGGAAACACGTCGCGGCTGCAGTAATTGGATTTGACCCAGTAGCCTAAAGCTTCCTAGTAAAGCTGCCCTGCTGACACATCCCAGTGGGCCAGTGAAGGACAAACTTGTTACCCCTCCCCACCCTCTGACATCACCATGATCACCACCATCACTCTGGGCTCATTAGCCTCCTCCGCCCACCCTCTTGGTCACCACACCCCCCTTTTGTGGCGTGAAGGGCTTTTTGTTTGTGTGTGTACATATACTGTCTGTCTGT